CGACGATGTTGTTGCGCGCTACTCCTCCCCTGCCACTGCTGCCCTTAGCCGCCTCATGCTACCGTACCTGTTCCCTGACTTAGCCGCTTTTGCCACAGTCGCTGACCTCATTACGCACCTCCGCACTAGTGACACCCACTACCGCGCTGCACTTCCTCCCGAGTTCTGCGCCGCGAACCCCCCCCTATGTATATCACTCTCTACTACCTCGTCACCCGGCTCCCTGACTCCCTTCGCTCGGTCAGGGACCACTTCCTCTCCTTTTGCCCCACCACGCTCACCGTTGACCTCCTCGAGGAGCGCCTCCTTGCAGCTGCGAAGAGTATAGTCGCTGTAGGAGCCTCTCGTGGTGACCCTCGTGCCCCTTTTTTTGAGGGGTGCTCCCCCGTCCCGCTTTTGCCCTCTGTTTCCTCTGCTGCTGCTGTCGACCTCGTTGGCACCGAGTCGGTCTGCGCTGCGTCTGCTCCTAGTGGGAGGCGCCGCAGCGGCAGGAGCAAGGGGGGCAAGGGTGCTGGAGGGGATGGCGGGGGCGGAGGTGGTGGCGGTGGAGGCGGCGGAGGGGGTGGGGGTGGAGGTGGGGGTGGTGGCTGGAGTGGGGGCTTCAGTGGCGGTGGTGGAGGTGGAGGCGGCGGAGGCAGCGGCAGTGGGGGTGGAGGTGGCGGCGGCGGCTGCGGCGGCGGTGGGGGTGGCGGCGGCGGAGGTGCTGGTCGGGGTGGCGCTGTGCAGCGGGGAGGCTTTGGCGGTGGCCAGCGCCAGCAGCAGCAGCGCCCTCGTGAGACCATGTCGCCCCAGTAGCTTCGTGAGTGGTACGCTGGGCGTGGGAGGTCTGGGGGTGCTGGCCCTGCGCTTACGTTCTCCGCACCGGCGACCGCAGTGGAGAGACGTACGGCGGCCCGCACGCCACGCAGCGCTGTTTCGGCCGCCTGACTGACGCCTGGCGTGCACAGTTTCCTGACGCCACTGAGCTCCCTCGCTGGGGTGATCTGCTTAGGTCGGGGGTTGCTATCTTTGATCTTGAATATGATGCTATCCTTGCTGCTATGTATGCTGTGACTACTAGTGCTGAGGGTGACTGTTACCTGTGTGTTCCGCCCGACCCGGGCATTGAGGCTGCTGCTCTAGGTGCTAGTGAGTCTGCTGCTCCAGGTGCTGGTGAGGCTGCTCTCTTAGGTACCGCGTCGGCTCAGGTCCTGCACACTTTCACCCTTGACTCGTGTGCTTCCCGCTCCTTCTTTCGCGACTGCACCACACTCTCGCCGCTCAGTCGGCCGGTGGCAGTCTCTCTCGCTGACCCCTATGGGGGTCCGGTCCTTGCACACTCCTCCACGGTTCTGCCATGTCCGACAGTCCCGTCTGGCTCTTTGTCTAGTCTCCACCTCCCCTCGTTCTCCACGAACTTGGTGGGTGGGGCTGACCTTCAGGACGTGTGGGTTGACCAGTTCACTCCTGGAGGTCAGCGAGTGACCCACTGTTCGTGCACTCGAACGGGCCGTCACCTGGCCACGTTCACCCGTCAGCCTGGGTCGAGCCTATACACCCTGACTACCATGTCTCCTCCGGTTGCTGAGTCTGGTCAGGTCGCCGCGTCGGGTCAGGTGTTTGCTGCAGCGTCCCGGTCTGGTCCTGAGTCTGCCCCCTGCTCGTGTCGCCTCCTGTCTCACCAGACTCTCCTCTGGCACCACCGCCTTGGTCACCCCTCCCTGCCTCGTCTCCGAGGCATGGCCACCCGTGTCCTTGTCACTGGTCTTCCCCGGTCTCTCCCTCCCCTCCCCCCGGGGCCTACCCCTGCCTGCGTTCCTTGCGTCGAGGGGCGGCAGCGCGCCGCTCCTCACTCCTCCGAGTTCCCTCCGACGGAGGCTCCCCTGCAGAATCGTCACATGGACATGTGGGGCCCAGCCCGCGTCCGTGGACAGGGTTACGAGCGCTACTTTCTGCTGGTCGTTGACGACTACTCGCGTTACACCACAGTCTTCCCCTTGCGCCGCAAGGGTGAGGTCACTGAGGTGCTGATCGACTGGATCCGCGCTGCTCGTCGTCAGCTCAGTGAGAGTTTCGGCTCGGACCTTCCTGTTCAGCGTCTGCACTCCGACAGAGGTGGAGAGTTTTCCTCCGACCTTCTGCGAGCCTTCTGTCGTGCGGAGGGCATCCGCCAGACGTTCACGCTTCCGGCCACTCCACAGCAAAATGGGATTGCTGAGTGCCGCATTGGCATGGTCATGGACGTCGCTCGTACGTCCATGATTCATGCGGTTGCTCCCCATTTTCTGTGGCCGTTCGCGGTTCAGTACACTGCGCATCAGCTCAACCTCCGGCCCCGGGCCTCCATGCCGGAGACCACACCTACTCTGTGGTGGACGGGGAAGGTTGGCGATGCGTCTGCGTTCCGTGTCTGGGGATCTCGAGCTTTCGTCCGCGACTTGTCTGCGGAGAAGCTGTCCTCCCGTGCTGTTCCCTGCGTCTTCCTTGGCTTCCCCCCTGGCGCGCCTGGTTGGCAGTTTTACCACCCCACTTCGCGCCGTGTTCTGTCCTCTCAAGACGTCACGTTTAGCGAGTCGGTTCCTTACTACCATCTCTTCCCCTACCGCACTGCCCCCCTACCCCCCCCGCCGCTCTTCCTTGCGCCAGGTCCTCCCCCGTAGACCCCATCCCCCCTCAGGGTCCTGCCCCCTCAGGTGTGTCCCAGGTAGACGCAGTCGAGCCTGTCGAGGTAGCTGTTGACTCTGGTGCTGCAAGGGGTGCTAAGCCTGCGGGTGCCGGGTCTGGGGGTGCTGAGCCGGAGCGTGCGGAGCCTGGGGGTGCTGAGTCTGGGGGTGCTGCGTCTGGGGGTGCTGAGTCTGGGGGTGCGGAGCCTGCGGGTGCTGAGCCTGCGCGTGTGGCGTCTGGAGGTGCTGAGCTTGGAGGTCCCTCGGGTGCTTCGTCCCGACGGGAGCCACTCTCTCCACAGCAGCTCCGCGAGTGGTTTGCTAGGCGCTGGAGCCGTGCTGCTGGAGCTAGTGGTGCTATGGGCGCTGGCGGTCCTGCTGGGGGTTCTGGAGCCACTGGTCCTGGTCCCGGAGGTGCTCGTACTGGAGGTACTGGAGCTGCTGGGCCAGGTGCTGCTGCTGGGGCTACTAGAGGTGCTGGAGCTGGTGCTGCTGGAGGTGCTGCTGGAGCTGCTGGAGGTGCTACTGGAGCTGCTGGAGGTGCTGCTGGAGCTGTTGGAGGTGCTGCTGGAGCTACTGGAGGTGTTGGAGCTGGCGCTACTGAGGCTACTGGGGCTTCTGGTGGTCCTGCTGGAGCTGGAGCTGCTGTGGGTGCTAGAGTTGGCGGTACTGGTGCTGCTGGAGTTGGAGCTGACACTAGGGGTGCTGGTGCTGTCCCTGCTGGTTCTGGAGGCGCTGCCCGTGTTCGTGCTGCTCGCACTAGTCGTCGTGGTTCGCGTCAGCGTCCTCCTTCTGTCTCTGGCACGCACCAGATGGCTCTGTGTCCTTCCACTGCTCCACAGCGTGTTCCTCTGCCGTCTTCTCCTGCGTCCTCTCTTCCTGCCCTTGCTGACCCGGAGTCTGACTCCCTTCGTGCTGCTAGTCATACTGTTACGCGTCTTCTGGCCACTGTTGTCACTGACCCTTCCTTTGAGTCCACTGCTGCGTCTGCCTTAGTTGCTGAGCTTGCTGACTTTGCTACTCACTGTCGTCTAGACTACGCCGCTAGTCTTGTTGCTGAGTCTGAGTCTGTCTGTCCTCCGTTCTGTCAGACTTATATGTTCTAACTTATGTAGGCTGTAGCGGGTTAGACATTAAGGGGTACACAATTCTAGGGTTGCATATTTGTATCATGCTCTTTCCTAGTCCAACACATTTTTTTTCCTCGCTATTCTCTTCACATGGTATTCTGAGCAGGTTCCCTAGTGGGAACTATTTTTTTCAAGGGCCCACCGAATTTTTTTTAGCCTGCCCGAATCGCGCTTCGCGCCCTGCCCTAACCTCGCGCCCCCCCCCCTTAGCGGCCCCTTCGTGGCCCCTCGCGGCCCCTCTTATGGTCCCTCGCGGCCCCCCTTAGCGGTCCCCTCGCGGCCCCCCCTCAGCGGCCCCCTCGCGGCCCTCCTTAGCGGCCCCTTCGCGGCCCTTATTAAGGCCCCTTCGCGGCACTTCGTGGCCCTCTCACGGCCCTTCGCGGCCCCCTTCGCGGCCCTTCGCGGCCCCTCCACGGCCCTTCGCGGCCCCCTTCGCGGCCCTTCACGCCCCCCTCACGGTCCTTCGCGGCCCCTTTGCGGCCCATCGCGGCCCCTTCCGCGGCTCCTCGCGGCCCTTCCACGGCCCCTCAGCGGCTCTTCGCAGCCCGTCGTAGCCGCCCTGCCGCCCCGTCGCCGCCGCCCAGCAGCAGCTGCTGTCGATTCCGCTGCCGCTGCTGCAGTTCGCCGGTGCCGCTGCCGTGACGGCTCCGAGCGGCCTGCTCACCCGCTGGTGCGGGCCCCCCCCCCTCCTCCCGGCTGTGCCGCCCCTCTGTTGCGGCCCCGCCCCTCCTTTTGTCGCGGCCTCCGCCTGCAACAGCCGCCGCCCCTGGACCTGCCGCAGCTGCCGCAGCCGAACCTACAGCTGCTGCCGCTGCCGGCCCTGCAGCAGCTGCCGCCGCCGGACCTGCCGCAGCTGCCGCCGCCGAACCTGCCGCAGCTGCCGCCGCCGGCCCTGCAGCAGCTGCCGCCGCCGGACCTGCCGCAGCTGCCGCCGCCGGACCTGCAGCAGCTACCGCCGCCGGACCTGCCGCAGCTGCCGCCGCCGAAGAAGGTGCTGCAGCCCCTGCCGTCACTGCTGCCCCGGCCCTCCCCTGCAGCCGAGTCGCGGCCCTGCTCTGCCGCCTCGTTGCGGCCCCGACCCTGCCACTGCACCACGGCCCGCCCCTGGTAAGCACACTACCGAGCCGCGCCGCCCTGCCGAGCCGTGTTGCCCTGTTGAGCCGCACTGTCTAGCCGTGTCGCGCTGCTACTGCTGCTACTAGCCTACTGTTACTGCTGTCATGGCTAGTCCTACTGTGCTTACCTTTGATGCTGAGGGTCGGGCGGTCGATTTCGATGTCTGGGTCGATGATCTACAGCTTTTCCTGCAGTGCGATAGCAAGGACGGTATCTCCCTGTTTGATCTTACGTCTGGTGCCTCTACTGCCCCTGCTGCTGATGCTGACAGTACTGTTCGTTCACAGTGGACCACACGCGATGCTGCTGCCCGTCTTGCTGTGTCTGACAGTAGTCACCTGCCGTCCACTGAGAGCGCGCACTTTAGTCAGTACAAGACTGCTAAGACCTTGTACGACGCTGTAGTTGCACGCTACTCCTCCCCTGCCACTGCTTCCCTTAGTCGCCTCATGCTGCCGTACCTGTTCCCTGACCTCGCCGCCTTTGCCACAGTCGTTGACCTCATTACGCACCTTCGCACTAGTGACACCCGCTACCGCGCTGCGCTCCTGCTGATTTCTGCGCCAAGAACCCCCCCCCCTATGTACATCACCCTCTACTACCTAGTCACCCGGCTCCCTGACTCCCTTCGTCCGGTCAGGGACCACTTCCTCTCTGTTTTCCCCACCACACTCACCGTTGACCTCCTCGAGGAGCGCCTCCTTGCAGCTGAGAAGAGTATAGTCGCTGTAGGAGCCTCTCGTGGTGACCCTTGTGGCCCTTTCTTTGAGGGGTGCTCCCCTGTCCCCCTTTTGCCCTCTGTTGCCTCTGCTGCTGCCGTCGACCTCGTTGGCACCGAGTCGGTCGGTGCTGCGTCTGCCCCTAGCGGGCGGCGCCGCAACGGCAAGGGCAGGGGGGGCAAGGGTGCAGGGGGAGGGGGCGGGGGCGGTGGTGGTGGCGGTGGGGGCGGCGGAGGGGGTGGGGGTGGCGGTGGGGGTGGTGGCGGGGGTGGGGGCTCTGGTGGCAGCGGTGGAGGCGGAGGCGGCGGCGGCGGTGGCGGTGGGGGTGGAGGTGGCGGCGGTGGCGGCGGTGGCGGCGGCGGCGGTGGGGCTGGTCGGGGTGGCCCTGTGCAGTGGGGAGGCTTCGGTGGTGGTCAGCGCCAGCAGCAGCAGCGCACTCGTGAGACCCCTCCCGCCCAGCAGCTTCGTGAGTGGTACGCTGCGCGTCAGCGAGGTGGGGGTGCTGGTTTCTGTGCCTACGTCCTGCGTACCGGCGACCGCACTGGCGAGCCGTGCGGCGGCCCGCACACCACCCAGCGCTACTTTGGCCGCCTGACTGACGCCTGGCGTCTCCAGTTCCCTGACGCCACCGAGATCCCTCGCTGGGGTGATTTGCTCGAGTCGGGTGTAGCTATCTTTGATCTTGACTATGATGATATTCTTGCTGCCATGTATGTTGTGTCTACTAGTGATGAGGGTGACTGTTATCTGTGTGTTCCGCCTGACCCGGGCATTGCGGCTGCTGCTCTAGGTGCTCGCGAGTCTGCTGCTCCAGGTACTAGTGAGTCTGCTGCTCCAGGTGCTGGTGAGTCTGCTCTCTCAGGTATCACGTCTGCTCGGGTTTTGCACACCTTCACCCTTGACTCGGGTGCTTCCCGCTCCTTCTTCCGAGACCGCACCACCCTCACGCCGCTCAGTCGGCCGGTTGCGGTCTCCCTGGCAGACCCCTCTGGGGGTCCTGTCCTTGCCCACTACTCCACCGTACTACCGTGTCCAGCGGCCCCGTCTGGCTCCCTGTCAGGTCTTTACCTCCCCTCGTTCTCTACGAACTTGGTGAGTGGTGCTGACCTGCAGGATGGGGGAGTTGACCAGTTCATTCCTGCGAGTCAGCGGGTGACCCACTGCACGTGTGCTCGGACGGGCCGACACTTGGCCACGTTTACCCGTCAGCCGGGGTCGAGCCTGTACACACTGACTACAGCGTCTCCTCCGGTTGCTGCGTCTGGTCAGGTAGCTGCTTCCGGTCAGGTGTTTGCTGCAGCGTCCAGGTCTGGTCCTGAGTCTGCCCCCTGCTCGTGTCGCCTCCTGTCCCACCAGACCCTCCTCTGGCACCACCGCCTTGGTCACCCCTCCCTGCCTCGTCTCCGAGGCATGGCCTCCCGTTGCCTTGTATCTGGTCTCCCCCGGTCCCTCCCTCCTCTTCCTCCGGGGCCTGCCCCTACCTGTGTTCCCTGCGTCGAGGGGCGGCAGCGCGCCGCTCCTCACTCCTCCGAGTTTCCGCCGACAGAGGCTCCGCTGCAGACTCTTCACATGGACGTGTGGGGCCCAGCCCGCGTCCGTGGACAGGGTCACGAGCGTTACTTCCTCTTGGTGGTTGACGACTACTCGCGTTACACCACAGTCTTCCCCTTGCGCACCAAGGGTGAGGTCACTGGGGTGTTGATCGACTGGATCCGCGCTGCTAGTCTCCACCTCAGGAAGAGTTTCGGCTCGGACTTTCCTGTTCTGCGTCTGCACTCCGACAGCGGTGGAGAGTTTTCCTCCGACCTTCTGCGAGCCTACTGTCGTGCGAGGGGCATCCGCTAGACGTTCACGCTTCCGGCCTCTCCACGGCAGAATGGGATTGCTGAGCGCCACATTGGCATGATCATGGACGTCGCTCGTACGTCCATGATCCATGCGGCTGCTCCCCATTTTCTGTGGCCGTTCGCGTTTCAGTACGCGGCGCAGCAGATCAACCTTCAGCCCCGTGTCTCCTTGCCGGAGACCTCCCCACCCTGCGGTGGACGGGGAAGGTTGGCGATGCGTCTGCGTTCCGTGTCTGGGGATCTCGGGCTTTTGTCCGAGACTTGTCTGCGGACAAGCTGTCCTCCCGTGCTGTTCCCTGCGTCTTCCTTGGCTTCCCCCCTGACGCGCCTGGTTGGCAGTTTTACCACCCCACCTCGCGCCGTGTCCTGTCCTCCCAGGACGTCACGTTTGACGAGTCGGTTCCGTACTACCGTCTCTTCCCCTACCGCACTGCCCCCCTCACCCCCCCGCCGCTCTTTCTCGCGCCTGGTCCCCCCCCAGTCGACCCCCTCCCCCCTCAGGGTCCTGCCCCCTCACGTGTGTCTCAAGTAGATGCAGTCGAGCCTGTCGAGGTAGCTGTTGACTCTAGTGCTGCTAGGGGTGCTGAGCCTGCGGGTGCCGGGTCTGGGGGTGCTGAGCCTGTGCGTGCGGAGCCGGGGGGTGCTGGGTCTGGACGTGCTGAGCCTGGGGGTGCTGAGCCTGCGGGTGCTGAGCCTGGGGTTGCTGAGTCTGGGGGTGTGGGGCCTGAGGGTGATGGGCCTGCTCGAGTGGAGCCTGGTGGTGCTGGGCCTGGAGGTTCTGCGGGTGCTTCGTCCCGGCGGGAGCTGCCCTCTCCCCAGGAGCTGCGTGAGTGGTTTACTTGCCGCTGGAGCTGGTGGTGCTACCGGTGCTGGAGGTTCTGCGGTTGCTGGAGGTTCTGGAGCCACGGGTCCAGGAGGTGCTCGTACCGGCGGTACTGGAGCTGCCGGGCCTGGTGGTGCTGCTGGTGCTGGAGCTGGAGGTGCTCCTGGCGTGGGCGCTGCTGGAGGTGCTGCTGGAGCTCGAGCTGCTGGAGGTGCTGCTGGAGCTGGTGCTTCTGCGGGTGCTGGGGTTGGAGCTCCTGGGGCTGCTGGGGGTGCTGCTGGAGCTGGTGGAGCTGCTGGTGCTGGTGTTGACACTGGGGGTGCTGGTGCTGTCCCTGCTGGTCCTGGAGGCGCTGCGCGGCCGCGGCCGTACTTCGTTCCGCTCCTTGAGCAGGTTCTTGGTCTCCCGCCTTCTACTGGTCCTGCTCCTTCCTTAGAGTGTCCACCGCCTGTCCAGTCCGAGTCACAGTTACAGCTCGCCTCCCCACTGCCTGCTCCTCCTCCCTACACTGGTCCTACTGGAGGTCTTGCTGAGCGTCGTGAGCCTGAGTCTCGTCCTGCGTCGCCTGTTCGTGCTGCTCGCACTGGTCGTCGTGTTCCGCGTAAGCGTCCTCCTGCGGTCCCAGGCACGCACCAGATGGCTCTACGTCCTTCCACTGCTCCGCAGCGTGTCCCTCAGGCGTCTCCTCCTGAGTCCTCTCTTCCTGCTCTTGCTGACCCGGAGTCTGACTCCCTTCGTGCGGCCAGTTCAACTGTCACGCGTCTCCTGGCTACTGTTGTCACTGACCCTTCCTTTGAGTCCACTGCTGCGTCTGCCTTAGTTGCTGAGCTGGTCGACTTTGCTGCTCACTGCCGTCTAGACTACGCTGCGAGTCTTGTTGCTGAGTCTGCGTCTGTCTGTCCTCCGTCCGTCCGGGGTGAGTGTGCTCTTGGCACGGACGTCCTTGAGGACAGGCAGGAGGAGATCTAGTGCTATGCTGCTGCTTTACCTCATCTCGTGTCCATGCTTCTTGCCCCTGAGGGAGACCCGGATGCACCAGACATCCCGACTCCGCGCTCTTACGCGGAGGCGGTAGAGGGTCCCTACTCCTCTCAGTGGCAAACAGCCATGGATGCAGAGATGGCTTCCTGGAAGTCCACAAGCACCTACGTTGACGAGGTTCCCCCACCTGGGGCGAACATCGTCAGTGGCATGTGGATTTACAGGGTGAAGTGGCCGCCGGGTTCTCCGCCTGTCTTCAAGGCGCGTTACGTGGCTCGAGGCTTCAGTCAGCGGCAGGGAGTTGACTACTTTCAGACCTTCTCTCCCACCCCGAAGATGACCACTCTTCGGGTGCTGCTGCACATAGCCGCTCAGCGCGACTACGAGCTTCACTCTCTTGACTTCAGCACTGTTTTCCTACAGGGGAGCCTGCAGGAGGAGATCTGGCTGCGCCGCCCACCTGGCTTCACTGGGTCGTTCCCTCCTGGTACCCAGTGGAGCCTCCGGCGGCCAGTCTACGGTCTCCGCCAGGCTCCCCACGAGTGGCACGACACACTGAGGACTACGCTTGCAGCTCTTGGGTTTGCTCCTTCTACTGCTGACCCGTCGCTGTTTCTACGCACCGACACCTCGCTGCCGCCGTTCTACATCCTCGTGTACGTCGACGACTTGGTCTTTGCTACTGCTGACACTGCTGTACTGGCCCACGTGAAGTCGGAGCTGCAGAAGAGACACACGTGCACAGACCTGGGTGAGCTGCGCAGCTATCTTGGCTTGCAAATCACCCGGGACAGAGCACGGCGCACCATTACCTTGACTCAGTCACACATGGTGCAGCAGGTCCTTCAGCGCTTCAACTTCACGTACTCCTCGCCTCAGGCCACTCCTCTGTCTACTCGCCACTCGCTCTCAGCTCTGCCTTCGGATGAGTCCGTAGAGCCGAGTGGCCCGTACCCAGAGCTTGTTGGCTGCCTCATGTACCTGATGACCTGCACCCGACCTGACCTGGCATACCCTCTTAGCATCCTGGCACGCTATGTTGCTCCTGGGAGACACCGCCCAGAGCACATGGATGCAGCTAAGAGGGTGTTGCGCTACTTGTGCAGTACGTCGGGCATGGGGCTAGTGCTTGGAGGGCGGAGTTCAGTGGTCCTCACTGGTCACGCCGACGCTTCTTGGGCTGACGACCAGGCTACGCAGCGGTCGTCACAGGGTTACACCTTCAACCTTGGTTCCGGCTCTGTTTCGTGGCGGTCTACCCGCTCGTCTTCTGTTCTCGGCTCCAGCTGTGAGGCCGAGATCTACGCAGGGGCCATGGCTGCACAGGAGTTACGCTGGCTCACCTACCTGCTGACCGACCTGGGAGAGCCGCCTCGTTCTCCTCCAGTTCTGTACGTAGACAACAAGGCCATGCTGGCCTTGTGTCGGGAGCACAGACTGGAGCACAGAACGAAGCACATTGCTCTTCGCTACTTTCTTGCTCGTGAGCTGCAGCAGCGTGGTCAGCTGCGCCTTGCTTACGTGGCCTCTCGGGCCAACACTGCTGATATCTTTACCAAGGCACTTCAGCCTTGTGATCATCAGCGCTTTTGTACGATGCTAGGTCTTGTGCCTACTTGGCCTCACTTGCTCACTTCTTGACCTTGTTTGTACTGTGATCTATATATACCTGCACTTGCTTGTTCACCTCTATATATACTCCTGCATGTGAACTGGCCTTGTGGCCTTGAACCTGTGCTCGGACTGTGTGGTGACGTTGTGATCCACCCTGAGCTTGCTTTGCCTTGCTTTGCTTGACTGGTCTTGTGACCCCTTGTTCTCCCCCACTTTGCCTATGGGGGTGTGTCAGACTTATATGTTCTAACTTATGTAGGCTGTAGCGGGTTAGACATTAAGGGGTACACAATTCTAGGGTTGCATATTTGTATCATGCTCTTTCCTAGTCCAACACATTTTATTTCCTCGCTATTCTCTTCACACGTTCGTCGGGGGTGAGTGTGCTCTTAACACGGACGTCCTTGAGGACAGGCACGAGGAGTTCCAGTGTTTTGCTGCTGCTTTACCTCATCTCGTGTCCATGCTGCTTGCCCCTGAGGGAGACCCGGATGCACCGGACATCCCGACTCCGCGCTCTTACGCAGAGGCGATAGAGGGTCCCTACTCCTCTCAGTGGCAAACAGCCATGGACGCAGAGATGGCTTCCTGGAAGTCCACACGCACCTACGTCGACGAGGTTCCCCCACCTGGGGCGAACGTTGTCGATGGCATGTGGATTTTCAGGGTGAAGCGGCCGCCGGGTTCTCCGCCAATCTTCAAGGCGCGTTACGTGGCTCGAGGCTTCAGTCAGCGGCAGGGAGTTGACTACTTTCAGACCTTCTCTCCCACCCCGAAGATGACCACTCTTCGGGTACTGCTGCACGTCGCTGCTCAGCGTGACTGTGAGCTTCACTCTCTTGACTTCAGCACAGTCTTCCTACAGGGCAGCCTGCACGAGGAGATCTGGCTTCGCCGCCCACCTGGCTTTACTGGGTCGTTCCCTACTGGTACCCAGTGGAGCTTCCGGCGGCCAGTCTACGGTCGCCGCCAGGCGCCCCGTGAGTGGCACGACACACTGAGGACTACGCTTGTGGCTCTTGGGTTTGCTCCTTCCACTGCTGACCCGTCGCTGTTTCTCCACACCGACACTACTCTGCCGCCGTTCTACATCCTCGTGTACGTCGACGACTTGGTATTTGCTACTGCTGACATTGCTGGACTGGCCCACGTAAAGTCGGAGCTGCAGAAGAGACACACGTGTACAGACCTGGGTGAGCTGCGCAGCAATCTTGGCTTGCAGATCACCTGGGACAGAGCACGCCTCACCATTACCTTGACTCAGTCACACATGGTGCAGCAGGTCCTTCAGCGCTTCAACTTCACCTTACCCTGCCCCGCGCGCCCTGCCCTGCCGCGCGCGCCTTGCCTTAGCAAGTGCGCCCTGCCCTGCCCAACCCGCGTGACCACAGCTGCCCGCGCACTGCAGCCACCGCACCTGCCACTAAAACGGCTACCGCTACTGCTATAGCTGCCGCCACAACTGCCGCTACAGCTTCAACCGCTACAACTGTTGTATCGGCCGCCACTGCTGCAACTACCGCTATCGCTGCAACCGCAACCCCTGCAACTGCTGCCGTTCCTGTTGCCAACGCCGCAGTCGCTACTGTTGTCCTTGCGCCATTGGGGCTGATTGGCGCGACCTGTCACGGCCACAATTACAGTCCTAGCGGCTGACGCAAACGGTAGCCCTTTCCAGTTAGAGTTGTGGCTCGAGTGCCTGCGCCAGTATCTCCGGCGTTTCGTTAGAGATGGCGTCTCCGTGTTTGGGGACACGTCAAGGTCCCTTCTGTCAACGGGAGTTGGGTGTGGCCCTGTCCTCGCTTGGGCAGAGCTGACCTCGTGGTTGGGTGTACGAGGGAGTGCAGCCGACCTGCAGAAGTGGGCGAGCTGGTCGACGAGGAGGTCGACCTGCACGAGGGGCCACTGCGACGGGCGCCGACTTCTGGACGCCTAGCTTGAGGTGGTCGACCAGGTGGTCGACCAAACCTGGTGGTTGACGAAGGAGGGGCCGACGTCGACCTTGACAGGGGAGACTGGGGACGTCGAGCCGGAGGGCGTTGAGTATCAGGACGCCGAGCAGCTGGGCGTCGAGCAGCAGGGCGCCGGGGTGGAGGGCGCCGAACTTGGTTGGCCGACGACTTGGCGAAGTTGGTGGCCGAGCCTTGAAGACGCCGACCAGGGAGGACGCCGACCTGACAGCGGCGACCTGGTTGCCCGGTCGACCGCAATACCAGGGCGACAGACTTCTGCGGAAGCATGCGAAGGTTGGCTTCTGCGAGGCCGACCTCGGGGGTGGTATCCCGAGGTCGACGTGGCTGGTGGGAGCAGACGCTGGCGTGGAGTCTGCCAGGCGTCCACGCTGTGCTCGTGAAGGCTTGGAGCACCAACCAGCTGCGCGCACCTGCGAAGCAGGTGCACCGTTGTCATGGG